ATGGCACAAGTTCCGAGCCAGGACCAGCAGTGCCAACTGGAGCGGGTCGGATCGGTTGACAGAGGAAGATATTAGGAAGGACCTTGCTGCGCGCGATAAGATGCGTCGCGAAGGCGGATGGTCATACGAGCTCAGCCGGGAGATGATATGATCACTCCAAGATGCGGTATTAAGTCAGTGAGTAGAAGCAGTCGGAGGGAAAGGAGTAAGACGGGTTCAGTCATCAATCATGGTTATGGAGGTACGGTTGTATAACATCGAGTTTGGAGTTAGTCTGTTCATGGCGTTAGTACATTGGTATGATTTAAAACGTCAGTTGCGGTCTCACACAAGGCATATTAGATCGGCAGGGACAGCAAATTGTACATGAATGAATCCGTTCATGAGTTCAAAGAAGTTTTCTATGGACGTGAATAGTGTCGTGCTATCGAACATATCGGTACGCAAAGCTCAGTGAAATACTGTAGGGTATCTGGGAATCAGGAAGCGACGATTGACCAAGACAATCCATTGTAGGTGATCCTATTACATTAGCCGTGCAGGACACTCCAGGTTAGATCATTGCTCTTTCAAGGTTGAGTCGGCATTCACATGAGTCGTAAAGAGACTGAAAGGGAAGACCCCTGGAGGCGGGAGGCAGCTAAGGTAGCCTGCCCGCAGCCCCGCACCCTGCTGCCCCTCCCTCCCTCCCTGTCTCGCCTGTCTATTGTTTGTCAAGGGAGCTGAGATGCCTTAGCAACCGGGTAATTTTTAGCTTAAACAAAGCCTCAAGAAGCTTCGACTCTTTCAGAAGCGTTGCTTGTGATGGCCACGATATAGTCGCGTTTGCCTGTCTACGCGCCCTCTTTGGAGTCTGAAACCTACGGGCTTTTATGAGGGATTCAGGGTAAGTTACGCTTCGTGTTACTGTCAGTTTGGCGTGCTTTGTTTTTGCGATCCTTGGAGCGGCACTTCGACGTCATCAGCCGCAGCAGTCTTCCATGCATCTACACACCGCCTGATTGGAGAAGCTGCCTCTGCAGGCGAACGAACGGACACACTCTGCCGTACATACAGTAGCACCACCGCTAGGAAGGGCAGGGAATGCGACGAACCAGTGTTCCCTCGCTGACCGCCGACGTTACCCTGCATCGTCTCTCCTCCTCCGACGTCAACGTCAACTCTCCGGGGTTACCTGGACGGCTCTAGCCTTCTGCGCTTTGTCTTGTTTCGCCTGCTAATCCGTCCTTCATCATTCTGCAGCAGATATTACGACTTCCAGTTGCCCAGTCTGTAGTCGCTCGACACAACTTGGCCAGGTGCTCGGGTTCTCTGCTGTCGCGAATATCGAGCAGAGCAAGTGGTCACTATCACCTCACCGGCAGTATTCTCCTTGTTTTCTACGCAATTCCAGGACCCGTCGTCGCTAGCGTTCACCGAACTATCACCTTGCCATCAGGCATTACTCTACTTCGTGCCCGAATTGTTTGAGCGGTTCCAGAACGAGGTCTTGCATGAGAGTCTCTTAAGCGTACGATATAGAGCCGACCGAAGTCTCCACAGGTGCTTGGGTAACGCCTTGAGATCGAACACCCTAGATCTACTCGATCCGTGTGTCCACTGGTGCTTGTCTTGCTGGCTGTTGTCCGCTGCGGTCACACTTCGATCTCTGGGAACTGTCACAGGCGCTTCACTTTCATCTCACCACACGTTCAACATTTGAGCTACACCCGATGAAGTTGACAAATACTCGGCAAATATCAGTCATATCAACTCCCCGGTCATAGCCTGATCGGGTTTATATCTGCCACGATGGTGAAGGCAGATTTGAACCGGGATTACTATGGCGATCTCGACTTGCCTACAACGGCTGATGCCGAAGCCATAAAGAAACAGTTCAGGAAGCTTGGTAGGGTTTTCAGCACAACTTTACGCAATGGTTCCATGCTAATTGCTTCCAACTACAGCACTCAAATACCATCCGGATCGTAATCCTGGACGAGAAGCAGAAGTCAACTCCAAGTTTCAGACTATCCAGTCTGCTCACGAAGTCCTCACAAATCCTGAACAAAAGGCAAGATATGATGCCCATATTTCTCGGAACAGGCTCAATGTCCGCTTCCCAGCTGCATCTGGCGTTAGGGGGAACCCCTGGTCAAGAATGGGTGACCAGTTTCCTCGTCCCCCAACATCACCGAATGTGCCCAAACCACCAAATCCCCCTAAACGACCCAACATGCCTAAGCGACCGACAACATCCGGGGCAGATAAGTACAAAGACTTCACAGCGCGGCCGCCACCCTCCTCTCCCAAGCCGCCGAATAGGGATCCAGACCCAACATGGAAGGCCTGGGCGAACATGAGACCAGGGTCAAAAGGGAAAGCAAGTCCGACTGAAGGATCATCAGCAACTGGAGCAGGAGGAAAGGCTCCTGGCCCACAACCTATCCCCCGTACGAACTCAACACGACAGCAAGCCTCTTTTGGTCATCGTGTGAATCGCACGGGTTTTACGCCGAGTTCACCGGGTGGAGACGAGCCGCCGGTCACCAACAAGAACTACTTCACGACTAGAACCCACACAAATCTCTTCAATGAGACCTCGTCTAATGCACGCAGTCGTCGAAGAGCGTCATCTACTGCTGACACGGCGGGAAGTCCGCGGGATTCGTTCCTCGACCCTCGTCAGAGCACTCCGTACCAGACTCGTGGAGGAGAGCGACTGAATCCATTCGATGGCACTCCAAAGCGATCTACAAGCACTAGGGAACCGCCCCGCCCTAAGTTTGCCAAAGCAGAAGCAACATCCCCCTTATCAAATCGGCAAAGGAGTGCGAGTGTCCCTGGCACGCCTGAGGATTCAAAGGGTAGTGGTGGTTCTACTACGCCTTCTTCTCGAGCTGAGGAGCGGTACAAGCCACGGGGTGCTGGTTCTCATACAGCGCCAAATAGTTCAACCACATCCCTGAATGGCGGCCAAGGTAAGCAAAGACATTCATTAATAATCGAAGATAGCTAATTTGTGCCCAGCTGCAGCGAACGGCACGGAAAAGCCCAATGCCAATGGCAATCCTAATGTGTATGCTCAACCAGATACTTTTGTTTCTCCCCCTTCTCATGTCCATTCGAATGGCCGGCCACCCCAGCATCCGATCAGTCATGCGGGAGGCGGCGTTTACGGACTCAAATCGCTTAGAAACATATCTGCGCAGTTGCGTGAACTATCTGCTCGGATGTCTTCGAGTGAAGAGTCTCCGGAAGGTCTCAATTCTTTTGAGAGTCATCTGCGCGAGTTGCTGGATGGTCTCGCAGTCAACCATTCACCTCTCAGCGCTCGGAAGCAGACGGGACCAGAGAAGCGCCAAGCAACCTCTACAACGAAGGGCAAGAGAACCTTAGCTGACAGGACTGATCCCAACAGCTTCAGCTTCAAGTTCGACGAAGACGTTTTCACTCCCAACACGCATCGCTTCACAAGAAACAGCGCAGAGAGTATCAATACTAGGTTTGTTGACCAGGAGCAGGCGAACTCCAACTGGCAATTCAATGCTGGTGGTGTAGAGAGCGATGGAACGACCCGACCGACCCCTCCGAGATCGAGATCGAGCGGACGACTTGGACGTCGGTCCCCATTTCGAACTCAATCGAGACAGGCATCGTTTGTGGACCCTGCAGAGACAGACAAGACTCCGACAAAGCAGGGCAGTTTTGACGCCGAGGAGTGGAGCCAAAAGATCAACCCTGAGATCTTTGTACCGCAACAGACTCAGCGCACGTCTGTATCTCCCACTCGCGCTGCTCGAGCGGCAACGAAGAAAGGGCGTCCTGTGCGGCAGACTATGGGTACCGCCGGCATGGTCGACGAAGAGGAGAGCAGTAGCGGCCCCGATGATAGAACTCGGCCAGCAACCGCAGCAAGTCACCTGGCTGGCCAGCCACAATCAACGAATAGTCCGAGTGCTATGGACATCGACTCTCCGCCTGTCCAGCCGCCAGTCAAACCTCAAACAAACGGTGCTAGAAACATTCCAGTCGAGCCTTCACGCCCCGATTGGAGAGCAGGAGTTGTTGATGGTGTGAAGGAGGATGCGAAGGCCCCTCCTGTCATTCCACCATCATTCGCTGCAAATGCCGGAGGCTCAGAAGATAGTGAAGAGTTCAGGGCTAGCTTCGCCGATTTCAGAAAGGTTGAGCCTTTTGCAGAGAAGGCCACAGGTCTCAATTCTTTTGGAGACCTGAAGTCGAACCTACCCTTTGAGAGCAAGGCATCTAGCCGACCCCCTCTCAAGAAGCAGAAGCCGAAACAAACGAAACTTACGCTACCGCACCCCCCTGAGGCCCCGCGTCCTCCCCCAACACTAGCAGTACCCTCACTGAAGACCAACCCGACAGCATGGCAGAAATATATCGAAGCTTTCCATCAGTACATGCGGGATTGGCATGTGTACAATACTAAATTCGTCGAGCATTTCCATGCACGCGAAGTTGAGATCCAGCGGGTGAAGACCCTTAATGACTTTAGCTGGCTGGATTCGCGCGATAATTCGGGCATTCAGGAGTACCTGGCTTGGGCAGAACAAGACCGACAAGTCCGCGATCAGTGGACTAATGCTTGCAACAACCACGAGCAACATGTCCGCGAGTTCATGGCACACCGAGAGAAGATGAAGGTAGAGTTGGCATAGGTGATGTCGTCGAGAGGTTTGGTTTCCAGGGGCATGTTTGAGCTCAACTGGTGTTACCGGGTGTTCGTTGCTCGGGATATCGATGACGGCGCCCAGTGTGTACACGAGATGTTGAGCATACTCCTGGGTGGGCACATGCATGTCTTGCGGCCTTCGAGCCGCAATATATTTTACATGTCCTGGGTGCGAGGACGACACTTTGCTTTTTGCGCGCCGCATCCGGGCTTCGAGCGGGCATGCTCTGATATCTTTGGACTTTGAGACATAGGGATGCGAAGACAGGACTTTTGCAGGGTATCTGTTAGGAGTATGGCTCAGCTGAAGATTTGGATGGCGTTTTACTGTGGCTTTTGGCTGGGGCGGATTAAAGGAGGTTAATCATGTTCTGTTCTGCGAGAGAGAACGTTCATACCGACAGGGAGATCTGTCGATTTCTGGCTTTTATTTTTTTCTTGTTCATACATTAGTCTCAAGACGGCGATCTGGGCGTCCATATCATATACGCCGCCATGGATTGAGGTCTTTCGCATAGATATCTCGTCTCCTCGAGAAGAGCATCCATCAATGGATCATGATAGTCATACCCGGGGTTAGTGTTCTGTCGAGGTGATTGGCAAATTAGGCCCTTTGCACGTACCGAGGGAGGGGATGTTGCTTTAATGAATGGCGTAGCCGCCCGCTAACTTTTATGCAAGGTTGGTAGCGGGAAGGCGCTGTACCGTGGATCTGATGGATTGGGCCTAGCCTAAGAGGTTCTAAATTTTTGGGACGAAGAAGCTGGATGGAAGCAGACCTTTGATTGATTGACCGAAAGCCAAGGATCACCGTGTCGACTTTAGGTCATATCTGCCTACTACTAAGGTAACTTACCTGAGGGTAACGAAGAGGCCAGAGAAAAAAATCCTCCATCCTTTTCTCATCTGGCCCTCAGCAATCACATGTCCTGGTGCTGCTTCTGTACCTCCCGGCCACCTCACTCTTCCACCACTTGGCGCCAGGAGCTGCAGCCACTTCAGCTCGTTGGTCACTCTCGTGGGTGAATCACAGAAGCTGGATGAGGACTGCGTTCTCGCGCAGGTTGCGAAGCACACTTGGGAGCCTTGCAGCCGCAGACGTCAACCTTTTTCATCCCACAACGCGATCCGCCTTCCTGCACACCACTGGCACCCACCGCCCGATCCAAAGCTACCGTCACGGCTTTCGAGCCGTCCCATCAACCCCAGTGATTCACGGCCCCTCTCACCTCGTCCGACTCGCCTCGACCTCAGCTGCCAGCGCTGCCGCCGAGAAACCTGAAGAAGGGCCTGCCTCCCGCAATTCAGCTCCATCATCGTCCTTCTCCAGTCCTAATAACGCCACGATGAACGGCGCAAACACCTCACCGCGCGCGAAGCGTAAGCTTTCGCCCACAGAAACCGTCGACGGCCACCGCCCCCCGAAGCACCATCGTGCCAGCATCAATGGGAAGCAGTCAGCCGGCGACAACACGCCAGATATTGATGGCGACTATGACATGGTGCACGAGGAGGAGTACGTCGTCGAGGAGCTCCCGCACCAAACTCTAATACCTGTGGGCGCCGACACGGCCGAGTGGCAGGCCACCATCGAACGGGTGGTGAGCAACGTCGTGTCCATCCGCTTCTGCCTCACCTGCTCATTCGACACCGACCCGGCGCTGACCAGCGAGGCCACGGGCTTTGTTGTCGATGCGGAGAAGGGCTACATCCTGACGAACCGCCACGTCGTTGGCTCGGGGCCCTTTTGGGGCTATTGCATCTTCGATAATCACGAAGAGGTCGATGCCTATCCCGTCTACCGGGACCCCGTTCACGACTTTGGCATTCTGAAGTTTGACCCAAAGGCGATCAAATACATGCCCGTGGCTGCCTTGCCGTTACGGCCCGATCTAGCGAAGGGTATATGCGACCCAACAAGTTGACGAACATGGTGGTTACACGAGTGCTAACGAGTTTTTTTAGTTGGTGTCGAGATTCGAGTTGTAGGTAACGATGCCGGCGAGAAGCTCAGCATTCTGTCCGGCGTCATAAGTCGTCTTGACCGCAATGCCCCCGAATATGGTGATGGATATAGTGATTTCAACACCAGCTACTACCAAGCCAGCGCTGCCGCAAGTGGAGGTAGTTCGGGCAGTCCTGTCGTTAACATTGATGGCTATGCCGTAGCTCTGCAGGCTGGCGGAAGGGCCGATGGTGCTTCTACCGACTACTTTTTGCCTCTTGACAGGCCTCTACGTGCTCTCAAGTGCTTGCAAGAAGGCAAGCCCATCACGCGCGGTGATATACAGTGCCAATTCCTCCTAAAGCCCTTTGATGAGTGCCGTCGGCTAGGGCTAAGCTCCGCGTGGGAGGCACAGATGAGGAAAGCATTTCCTAAGGAGACCAACATGCTTGTTGCCGAAATTGTGCTTCCGGAGGGACCTTCCCACAGCAAGATCGAGGAAGGCGATGTCCTAGTGAAGGTAAACGGTGAGCTCATCACACAATTCGTCCGCCTGGACGACATCCTAGATTCCAATGTCGGGCAAACGGTCAAGCTGCTTCTTCAACGAGGAGGAGAGGATGTAGAGGTTGAGGTAGCTGTGGGTGATTTGCATAAGATCACCCCTGACCGCTTCGTGTCTGTTGCAGGAGGCAGCTTCCACAGTCTGTCTTACCAGCAGGCGAGACTGTATGGCGTGGCGTGCAAGGGCGTCTACGTCTGTGAGGCCACTGGGTCCTTCCGTTTCGATAGCAGCGACAACGGCTGGATCATCCAGACTATTGACCACAAACGGGTGCCCGACCTGGAGACTTTCATTGAGGTAGCCAAAGGCATTCCAGACAAGGCCCGTGTCGTGGTGACCTACAAGCATTTGAGAGATCTGCATACACTAAACACGACCATCATTTACATCGATAGGCACTGGTCGGCAAAGATGAAGCTGGCCGTCCGCAATGACGAGACTGGGCTGTGGGACTTCAAGGATCTTGCGGATCCTCTGCCTCCCGTGCCACCTGTTCCCCGCAAAGCATCATTTATTCAATTAGAACACACGAAACACCCTGCTGTCGCCGATCTCGTCAAGAGCTTTGTTCACGTCAACTGTACCATGCCGGTCAAGCTGGACGGCTTCCCTAAGAATCGAAAGTGGGGTATGGGCCTGGTCATTGATGCAGACAAGGGCTTGGTCATCATATCACGGGCTATTGTCCCTTATGATCTTTGCGATATCTCCATTACCATTGGTGATTCCATCGTTGTGGAGGGCAAGGTCGTCTTCCTACATCCCCTGCAGAACTACGCTATCATACAGTACGATCCTAAGCTGGTAGATGCGCCCGTGCTCAGCGCCAGATTATCCGACGAGGGAATCACCCAGGGTGCATCGACTTACTTCATTGGATACAACCGTATTGGGCGTATTGTCCATGCGGCGACCACAGTCACGGAAATTTTTGCGGTTGCCATTCCCGCCAACTCTGGAGCTCCGAGGTATCGTGCCGTAAATGTAGACGCCATCACTGTGGACACGAGCCTGAGCGGGCAATGCGGAAGTGGTGTTCTCGTGGCTCCAGATGGCACTGTTCAGGCTCTGTGGCTAACATATCTGGGAGAGAGATCTCCCTCAACTCACAGAGATGAGGAGTATCATCTCGGCCTGGCGACGCCGACACTACTGCCTGTGATCAAACAGATTCAGCAAGGCCTTACGCCTCAACTACGCATGCTGTCCGTAGAGTTCCGGTCTATCCAGATGTCTCAGGCAAGACTCATGGGTGTGTCGGAGGAGTGGATTCACAAGGTCTCCCTCGCCAACACATCTCACCATCAGCTCTTCATGGTAACGAAGCGCACTTTTGAACGTAACGAGGAAGCCGGGGCCCTCCTTGAAGGCGACATTCTATTGACGCTGAACGGCAAGCTCATCACGCGCATCTCCGAGCTGGACATTATGTACTCCAACGAGGTGCTCGAAGCCGTCATTGTGCGCGACTGCGAGGAGATCACCCTCAAGTTGCCTACGGTCTCGGCCGACGATGTTGAGACGGACCGTGCTGTCTCGTTCTGCGGCGCCATTCTGCACCGGCCGCACCATGCAGTCCGCCAGCAGATCAGCAAGCTGTTCAGCGAGGTGTACGTCTCGGCGCGCACGCGGGGCTCGCCTGCCTACCAGTACGGCCTGGCGCCGACAAACTTCATCACCCATGTGAATGGAAAGCCCACCCCGGATTTGGAGTCGTTCCTCGCGGCCGTGGTGGAGATTCCCGACAATACATGTGAGATTTACTTGCCAATGATCTTGTTTCTGAGACCCCTTTGCTGACTATGGTTATTTTAGACTTCCGACTGAAGGCTGTCACGTTCGACAGCGTGCCGTGGGTGGTGACGATGAAGAAGAACGAGCACTACTTCCCGACCATGGAGTGGATCAAGGACCCGTCGGTCGAGTGCGGCTGGCGGCGTGTAACATACGAGGACGGCAAGGCCATCAAGGGCGAGGGCCACGAGGGTGTGGTGCCTGTGGCGGACGACACGGGCGACATTGTGGAGATTGGCGGCGTCGTAGGCTAAGGCATATGGCATGGTTGATATCTACGACCGCTGCTATTGCTATATCGACAGATAAAAAGAACAGTCGCATGTAAGGATAATTGCTTGAGGGTTAGGATTGGTACAGTCAGCTGCTCTCAAGGTGAGCAGTGACGCGGATTCTTGTACATATAGAAACCAGATCGGTGTTTGATTATCTTTTGCGTGTTGATGAAAGAGAGAAAAGCATACCGGCAAGAAGGTATAATTGGATCATCATCTCGCAGCCTCAATCACGGCAATTGGTAAAACTATCCATTCAGTACCTGAACGCTTTAGCAACGGTTCTTAGCAAGTCATAGGAACAGAATATCGCAACAAAACCCATAAGCCTCATTCCGAGATATATAAATTCCTACTAGAATGACACAACGTCTGGTGACCCCTTTCTGGTAGGCAACGGCGGCCTCCCGTTGCAACGCCTTGAGTCCCTAAAAACGGAGTCAATGATGTTGGGAACGGTGCGCCTCGTGCTGGAAAGGCTGTGTGGTCTGTGCGCCTGGGAAGTAGCGCAGTGACGTTACCCTGCTGAGCACACGCATTGGGATTAATTAGGTAGCCGCGCTGCGGTTAGGCGAATCACGATGCGGCTCGCGTGGTTGGGGGGCAGGGGGGTGGGAACCTTTGGGGACTGGAACTATACCACACGTGGAATCGCATGGCTAGTCGTCGTGGTCGTCTCGTCTTTCCCTCCTTCCTACCTACTTCCTTCCGTACGCACACGCCCCTCCCTGACCTGCGTCTACCGTTACGGTACACCTGGGCCGTTCAGCACACACTACACACTAACCAGATGCAAGGACAGCCAGCCAGCCAGCACCTGGACTACCTCCCTAGCAACACCCCAGCACAACCACAGACAATCAAAATCGCATTCAAGTCGACCTCGACACCCCGAAAAATCCCCAAAGAACACCCCATAATCTCAACCTCACGACGCAAACCCCGTGATCGCGACCGTCTCAGTGATCCAAGACCGATTGCTGCCTTTACCTCTCGATTTCAGAGCCCCTGAGATCTCTCGTCTGCCTATTGAATGACTCGCTGCCGCACCATCGCAGCCTGACCACACGCACGCACGCACCCACACACTCAATACAACGACACCTCAACTTTTATTCCTCATTATCATCGCCTCTTACCATCTCCCATTATAAACAACCAGGCCCAACAAGCGCCATCAGGTGGACGGTCGCTCGTTCATCTGCGCCGGCTGGCGACGCCTCCACATCCATCACGCACCCCGCACCACGCAAGCATCACAATATTCGACCTGGTCATCCTCATCCTCATCCTCATCCCCTACTCTCAACCACTCTCTGCATGCTCGGTGCTTCTTTGCACCACCGATTTCCTCGACCTCCCAGCTGAACACAGCTCGTCTTCCTTATTATGGCAGTTCGCTACAGCGCAGAGGCATTGATTCTGCTCCGAGAGTCTC